CATGAATACGATGAGGGAACACGAACGTAAGAGAAAAGGTTTATTTAATATATAAGAGTTTACAATAAAGATAACTACAAGTTACACAAAAGTGTCCTAATGACATAAAGTTATTAAAAAGCGAGTTAGATAGTGATAACGAGTAATAGACATAAGCAAAGGATAAGAAAGGTCTATTACCCGGAGAAATGGGATACAGATCCGTCAGGGTAGCCATGCGCTGTCTTATAAACTCATACAAAGTTGGCGACTTAGGGCGCCCGTTGATTTTACGAGAACGGGAATTCGTAAGAGATCCTATGAACTTTTCCATGTTCATTTCTAAATTTCTAAAGCCGTGTCCAGATGGCCTTAAATATTAATTTACTAAGGGGAATACTTATATGACACTAACCTTGGCTTCTTCGTTTTGTAGAATACATTCCAGTTGAACCCTGTAGAAAGAAGAAAAAGCTGTGTCTTTTCATGTTCTTGATTCTCATATTTTCTTGGAACGAGCTTATACCCGTGAAGGGAGCCATACGCCGTGTCTCGAATATGTACAGTTTCGGCGACGTAGGGCTCCCGTGAATTACGCGGGCTCTTGATCGCGTAATACACTCCTTGAACACTTCATTGTCCATTTTTTAAATAGAAAGAAATTACATTAGAAAAAACTAAAAAGATATTCGAAGAAGAAAATGGAGACTGTAATCAAGAAACATTTGAAAAACTGCGACATCAAAGTCAAGTAATAGTGATTCAAGGAACACAAAGATGCGGAGAAGCCTAGTAAGTCGAGCTGTAAAACTATCTATATTACACACATCAGAATACATATAATAAATAAATCATAAACTTCCTAAGAACATGCAATAACATATGATATTTCATTTTTATTCACATTCACAAAGAGGTTATAACAGAAAAAAATTAAAGAATGAGCAAGGAAACATCTGATTAATTGATATAATCATAATACGAGCATAAGAAAGAGGACATGCTATTCAACAAGCCAATGCTCGTGTTTTGTTTTTAAAATTGATTTCGCATGCGAAAACAGTTATGGAATGTCACAAAGTACTTGTTAGTCTGATTTTATAAAGTTCAAACTTATTAATTACTGAAATTATTATTACATGTTATACTACGTGTTCCAATTTCGAAGAAATCAGCTTATTATAACCCGGGCTTAGCTATACAGGAGTATGGAAGTATTATAAGTTAAAGTTTTTCATATTTTGGCCCGGAATTATGAAGGATGCCGAGTGTGTTCAACATCCATGTAGATGTGATTGAAATTGATTGTTTGAAAAAAAAAATTCTTGATCAAATGATTTAAAGTATCTCATCCTCCTCGCTATCCTCAATTACTTCTTCTTCACGGATTTCTTTCTGAGTAGTTTTGAGTTCATGGCTAGCCAGCATTCTGTCGTTCATCATGAAACCCATATAACGTGGGCGATGCTTAGTAGTTGGAGTTTTTTTCGATTCTGCTGTAGCTTGTTGTAAGCGCATGAAACGCATCATGTTGATCTGGATGGGAAAAAATCAATTCACATGCATAAAAAATCAAACTCACTTTACGTGTGGTTGTTTCCTCAGTTGTTGTGGAAACGGCTTCAGTAGTGGATTCTTCAACTTCTTCTTCCTCTTCCTCAGTGGACTCTTCCTCATCAACTGTCTCGACTGGTTTTTCAGTCTCTTCAGGCATTTCCGTAGTTGTGGCAGCAGTAGTTGTAGTAGATGGGCCAGGGGTTGTTTCTTCTACTCCACAACATACTGGGTGATATGGTCTTGTGTGTTTCTTAGCACAAGTTTGGTCCATTGGTTTGCGCCAGTTTCCTTTACAAATCAAATTGGGTTCGGTTGTCAAGTTGATAGCTTCTCGTCCATTCATAACATGGAAACCATCAGCTGTGCATACCATTGGGTTTTCTGAAAATGTTCATATCATAAACGCCACTTTTGAACAAAGATTACCTTGGAGACGAACAGTCAAGTGATCAGATCCAGAAATGGCTCCTTGTTGAAGATTCAAGATTTGATTATTAGAGAGATCAAGATGATGAAGATTAGCCAAATGCAAGAAAGATAATGGCTGAATTTCACTGATGTAATTGTTTGTCAATGAGAGTTGACGAAGATATGGAATTCCTTGGAACAAGTTCTGGCTGATATTACGAATACAGTTGTTTGGAAGCCAGAGCAGCAACAGTGGCATTCCTTCGAAACTTCGTGGAACTACTTCAGTAAGATAGTTGCTATCTAAGTTTAAGTGTTGGAGGCTGTCCATTCCTGTGAATGTAGTTTCATCGATTTTTTCAAAGAGATTGAAAGATAAATCCAGAACCTATAAGATATGCAACAGTTATCACAATCAAAACGATATTATATACCTGAACTTGCTTGAATTGAGACATAACACCAGAGTCAATACCAGTTAATCTGTTATCAGAAAGATAAACATAATGAATGTTATCACTATTCTCAACACATCCTTAAATGAAAATCAGTTGTTTTATTCATTGTGTTATCTATCAAATGACCTGGATGAATGTAAGAGATGTTGTTGTTGCTGAGGGTCAACAGAGAGAGTGATGGCATGTTAACAATTGAGTTCTTTTCAATTTCTTGTAACTACAAACGATAAATCAATAGAAACATTGTTTTTATTCAATAACTGTACCTTGTTGTATTTCATGTGAACACCAATCAGACTATCCATTCCTTTAAGAGCCTCGCCTGGGAAGTTTTTCATACAATTGCTATCCAAAATGAGATTTTGTAGTGTAGACTTGATAGATCCAAAAGCATCCTTTGAAATTTCGCAAATCTATAACATTATCATTTATGTGAATGTGATTGTATTTGAAATATCAAATAGATCAGGGAGAGATTGCGAGAAGGGCAGACAGGCAGAAACAAAAGTGTGCCAATCTCCGTTTTTCTTCTTTTTTTTTTGATCATGTGGGGCGAGAAACTGGGTCAACCGATTTGTGGTTGATGGAAAAATTGCATGAGTAGCAAAATAGTACCTTATTGCATGAGAGATCAAGGTCAATTAGAGTTGAAATGTTAATGAAGGATGTCTCTGTGAGATTTCCGATCTTATTGCATTTCATTTGAAGAATGCTGAGAGCACGAAGGTTTGACAGAGATTTTGTTGGAATCTGCAAAAAAATTGATGAATTATGGTTGAGAGGTGTTTCCATACGTCAGTGAGCTTATTGTTAGACATGGAAAGCTCGACCAATGAGTTTTCTAATCCACTGAAGGCATCATGATGAATTTTTCTGATACGGTTGTTATCCATGTTGAGCTTCTTGATACGAAGATTTTTGAAAGCTCTTGGTCCAATCTAGATGATCATAGTTAGTGACAGTCGTGAATTAGAAAAATTCAGTATTACCTCAACGATGTTAGCGTTTTCGATAGTAAGCTCTCTGAGTTCATGATGTTGTTTCTTTAGCTCTTCGATAACTAGAGGACCATGATGACCAGAACATTTCACAATTATTCCTTCGACATTCTCTGAGCAGGTACAGGCAGTCTAAAGATGACCAGTAATTATGAACAACAAGAGATAAATGTCAACAAACCTGGTTCTGAAATACGTCAGGACAGAAGGCAGACGCTGATGCTGCCAATGAGAGGATGGCGAAAGCAAAAAAATATAATTTCATAATTTTCTGAGTTTCAACGGTTCCAAACTATCGACACAACTTTGTCGTGAGTAAGGAATGATTGGGTTAACAGTCGGTCTACGAAGCTCCGCCTGTTTTTCATCTTTTTGATCATAATGGGTCAAGGAAAGGTCGTACGAGATAGCTCGGATAGTGTAATAAAAAAAAGAAAGAATTTCTCAGAACACAGTTACAACCTCTAATTGGGGTGAGTTCATGGGCTAAGATGAAAAGTAATAAAAACTTTTTATATAATAAGATAATCTTGTTGACTGATGACAACAGTCTACTATCTTGATAGAAATTATTGGGAAAATATGAATAATGGTTTATTGAATGGTCAATTGTGCAAAACAGTAAGTAAACAGTTATATTATATTATAATACAAATTTTAAAAGCTTCCAGTATCTAGTAAAGATCACAGGCTTGCAGCCCTCTTGGTGCATGAAATCTTCTTGAGCTCTGCCTAGAGGATCTGAAACCACATATGGTTAACATTGTAATATTATATATAAGACTCACTTATGCCTCACAGCGCATAAAATAACAAAAACAGAGAGCATTATTACAATCACTGTTGACAAACAGATGATTATAGCTGTTGTTGGCAATGATTTACTTTTTGATATCTTTGGTACTGTTTCTTCCTATAAGAAAAACATTATTTCGAAGATTACTTGATGAAATAGACTCACGTTTTCACGACGAAGAGCAAATCTTTCGAAATCAACGGAGTTTGTTGATGGCTTCGAATCTGAAGGTGCTTGTGAAGCTTTGCTTGCAATAATAATGGATGGGGGAAGGCTGAAACTTTCGGTGGTTTCAATGGATGGTGTGGTTGAAGAGACAGGACGGATAACCCGCACAACCTGATGATATCAATTAGAATATTCAAATTATTTCATATAAACACCTGTCGTCCATTGTTGGGTGCCATTTTCAGGAATGGGATTGGGAAAGGTAATATACGATTTGGATTGTCTTCAGGTCGTCTTGGAACAAAGTTGGATGAAGAAGTTGTTGTTACAACCGATAAGGTAGATGTTTCTTGTTCTCTTGGAGTATCTTGTTGAATATCATCTCTTTGTTCCGATCTCACAATCTCTGAGGTTCTCAACAAAGTGTTTTCTGGCTTTTTTCTCAAAATACGAACTAGACTAACACAAATTGATAGAACGATTTTACCTGTTGAGAAGAGAAGATGGTCTGATTCTCAATGAGCTCTGAGCTATCTCTGGCTCTTCAGTTGTTACATTAACAGTTTCCGTAATAATTGGAGAGTCATCAAGCTTTCCAGTGCTTACTGGAGATTCTTCGATTTTTTCAGTTATCAAGGACGGCTTTTCATCCGTTTTTGGTTTTTCACGATTACAAATGATGTCTTCGCTTTTTGGAATATAAATTCCAACACCATCTTGTACCATGTGAAGATTTTCAGTGCAAACGAGAGGATTTTCTAAAATCATAAATTAGGATTTACTGATGAGTCATATGGAATACCTTTCAAAACAACAGTACCAGTTCTACGGTTGAGAATCTCATGAGGAGTTTTGGCAAACTTATTATGACTTAAATCAATGAAAAGTAAATTAATTTGGGCGAGGAATGTGTTTGGTTCCAAATTTTCAATTTTATTGTAACTGAGATCTAATACAACTGTGGATGGAATGTTGTGGAAAGCATTCTGATGAATTATCCGAATCTGAAAGAATTAAAAACAAATATTTTCATTTCCATAAGAATGAAAAAGTCATTTTGTTAACCTTAAAACCCTTTTCATCAAGGTCAACACATCACAAATGTTGACCTAATTTCTTTTTCTTATGTGCAAATGTATCACAGAGTGTACTTCTTCAAGGACAAAAATCAATTTTTCTGATAACGCTTTTTGAAATATCGGGGACATCAGTTAATTTGTTTGAAAATAAGCACAATTAGAACTGTATCTGACCTCATTATTCTTGAAAGACAGCTGTTGTAAGCTTGGCAGTCCGGTAATGACGTCTTCTGGCAGTTCGGAAATCTTGTTATTTGAAATTACAAGAATCACAATAGAACTATTCAGGAAAGCATCCTTTTCCAATTCAGTAATGGAATTGTTACCTAAAATCTCAGTATAAACTGATTTCAAATACAAAATCCATTAAAGTTACCTAAGTAAACCTGTCTTAAGTATGTGTGATCAGAAAATGCTCCTGATGGAACTTTTTCCAAAAGATTGTTAGTCAAATCGAGAAACTCTAATTTCTCGAAGGAATTGAATTGATGGCTAATAAGCTTTCCGATTCGATTATTGGTCAAATAGAGATATCTCAAATTGGGAACATTAATGAATGCTTGAGTGTTGATATCATTAATTGCATTATTAGCCAAGTTGAGTAACTGTAAGACAGGCAAATTCAAAAAGCTTAAAGCTTCTAGCGATGAGATGTTATTGAAATGCAAATGAAGTGATTGAAGTTGGGTTTGACCTCTGATGGCTGAAAACAAAGCTTTGACTATCTATTTGATCTATTCCATTGGCTACCTTGAGATGGAACAGCACTTAAACAGTTTCTACCCAAATTTAGTGTTTGAAGTACGTTCTTCAATTTCTCAAATACTGCTCCTTGTATTTTACAAATCTTATTCCCGCTCAAGTTGATGTCAAATAACTGAAACATAATTAATCAAAAATGTTTCTTAGATACAATCAAGTAGATTCATCAATGTCAAAGAAAAAATACCTTTGGCAAAGAAGGGAAGATGTCATCCGACCTTAGATCTCCAATAGTGTTATTAGATAGGTCAAGGCGAAATAAACTACGTTGGAAAGAGATAGCAGCTGTAGGAATCTGTAAATTTCAACAAAATGACGTAAGTCAAAAAAGGTGAAGGTCAATTGAAGTCATTCAAAATGAGAAATGAAAGAAATAATAATTTTACCTTTGTTAACTTGTTATTGGACAAAGAGATGTCTGTCAGGACATTGCTCATTCCACCAAAAGCTTCATTATCAACAGTTTTTATGTCATTATGAGATAAATCAAGTTGTTTGATAAATAATCCTTCAAAGAAATTCTTTGGAATAGATGTTAACTCAGCCTGAATGAATACAATGATAAGGCTTAATGATAATCACCAACGAACATTCTTTAATGTGAGTGATTGGATTAATCCCAATCTCACTTGATTCTCTCGTAACAGTTGAACAATACCATTCCCATTAGAATTTGAACAATCTAATCTTTAAATAGAAAAAAAAGAAATATAAATAATATACTATATGATATAAAATACCTAACACCATTATTGTTTTCTTCACATTTACAAAACTGTTGAATAACTTCCGGACATGAGAATGCTATGGGAATGACAAATATGAGACTGACTATGAACAGCGTCCATTTCATTATTTCAAATATCTGAATAAAAATATTGTTTTTAACATAATAAACATATATATAATAATTAATTGCGTATTATAAACACGTCATCATCATCATTATATATATTATACGGTAATCAATAACTATATGTACGTATAAAGATATATATAATCCATAACAATGTAAATTTTTTAGAAAAAACAAAATAACTTTGTCGATATATATCGTTTTTACTATTGAGGATGACAATCAAATGAAGGGATGCGCGCGACGGTATGTTGAAAACGTTTTGGCGAATCCAGGTCAACACCCAACCAATCGGGCATCTCTATAGCAAACCACCTACTTTGTGGGACGCATGACATTGTCCTTATTTCGTATAAGAGCCGAATCGTCAAATTATTACCGGAATTCGTAACTTTAAGAGTATCTGACTCATAGGATTTAGAAATCATTCTTCATTCCATTTATATCTTTCTTTACATACCATATGTGTGTGAGTGAGTGTATGTATATTATGAGATGAAGTATCTTGTCTTATATAATGTGTGGCAATAATCATATCAAGAATTGCCATAATTTAATTGAAATCAGGATTATTCACGAAACACATGGGACACCGCCTCTATAAGATTGATTTCTGAGATTAGAATTAAGAAGCCATTGGCCAATGGAGAAAATAATAAGTTATTGTATCCATGGCAACTGTCGCAGCTGCCAGCACAATGAGGACAGAGTAACAACACACACACAGTCGCTATTCGTTTCCGTCTGAGAAAAAAAACTGTTTTTCGACTGTTTTAAAGCATTTATTTAAAAACATGCTCAGCTATTAGTATGAGTGACTATCTGCGCGTTGAATACGTCAATGAAGATGATACCTTAGCTGAAATAGCTGCCAGAGAAATTACTTCTTCAAGTTTGCGCAAATCCAATGCTATACTACTAGGTATATATCATTCAAATTTAAACATTTTGTTTTTCATTGAAATATCCATTGTTTCAGCTTTGATTGCTATCGTTTCATATGGCTTCAACATACTTCTCGCAGCTGTCATATACATCAAGTAATGAGAACTTTTGTTTTCGTAGTCTCACAAGTATAATTCAGTGAAAGTCTGAGAAACATCAACACATATGCTTTACTTGGACATTTTGCTTGTATTAACTTAGCTGATTTGACATTTTCATTATTCTTTTCGCTTGTTTACGTTGCTAACAACAGTTGGATATTCGGAATCACATGGTGTCGAATACATGCAGCTGCACAAGAGGTTCACTTGTTCAATTTTTTTTTTAATATTCAAATCTGTCAACATCATAGTTCTGTCTACTATATATGTTGTCATCGTTGATGTTTATGGCAATTGAAAAGGCTGTTGTTTCCATGTACTATACCAATGAACATGAGCATGCTCGTCGTCAAGTATTTTTCACCAAAAAACATCTGGCAGGTAGAATTCTCTTAAATTTCTTTAACCATATTTTAATATTATAAAATATTCTTTTTTAACGTTTTAGTTGCGGCATTTGGCTTTGCTCTAATATCCGCTTTGTTCTCCATTCCAATTACTTTTCATATGATACCCGTTCAACCATTCAAAAATAGATTTGTATGTGGGATTGATAGGTTGAATATTATATATGATATTTGAAAGACAATCTTTACTTGTTGCAGTCAATGCCCAATTGTATTCCCTTGCTTGAGAATAATTGTCTACATCACAGCCCTTCTCGTTAGTCTAGTTGCTTTCATTTCTCTTCTGCGTGCAAAGGTGAAATAACTATTTGTACTGTTGCTAAGCTTTCTTTTCATATATAGCCTCAAGCATCTATACCTTCGCAACAACAAGACTATAATGCATTTATTGACCATATACGGTTTATACATGAACAGAAATCACATGGCCGATTGGTAACAGAGGGATTAGAAGAATTCAATATCTATATGATAATTATTATAGGTTCTTGTTATATTCACATTCTTTATCATAACTGTAAGCCCATATTGTGTATTGGGACTTGTCTATGAGATATCCAACAGTCGAGAGTTACAATCAGCCTCTCATACACATATCAACGTTCCACAAGATGCAGATACTCTTCTAACATGGTTAAAATTTCTATTTCCACTCATTTCACCAATAATAGTATGTTATATTATATATCACATATGTTAAACTATTCATTCAGATAATATGTGCATGTAATGATATTCGAGAGAAGATTCGAGAACTATTCTGTTGCTCAATTGATTCAAACTCATATAATCATCATTTGAGTTCTGCAGGTATGTTATATGATAATTGATATCATTTATAATGTTTCATGATAGTTGTGTCACCTCAAACTATGACACTTGTTGGTACTTCAAATGGCTTACAACTACGAGCAGCTGACTTGATGCATTCTCCAGATGCATATTCCAGTCATTGTCCCGTATTGCCATTAACAGAAGAATTTCCTCCAAGATGTAAGAATTATAATATAATATAAAAAGAATTATTTAATATAATTAATAGATGAGCAACTAGATAATTCTCCTGAAATAACATCGACCAGACAAGTGACAACATCTAATGTTGAAAGAGAAAGAGCAGAACGAAGTCGTAAACCTAAAAGGTTATCAATTCCTTCAAAATATTTTATATGAATAAATATAATATTATTATAGAACAAAACGTAAATTGAGTAATGGTATACGTGTTAAAGCTAGAAATTCATATTAGAAATGATAATATGGAGAGAAAGCTGATTCATTGAAGTTCGTCTTACATATATTCAAGTTGATGGAATGGCCATGAGATAGAGGTTTAAAATGTATTTAATATGATAAAAACCTTTGAAAGCCTATAATTGTGGTTAATCTTCGATTTATAAAGGCAAATAAATATTAAAATGATTGTCTTGTTATCTGTTTCTTATCATATTTTATATTACAACCGCTATTAAACGTATTCATATTTGCCTTGACGCTCACTTTTGAGATAGAATAGTCAGTCGCCTTTTCAGCCTTTGAAAACTCTATTTAGGATTATATATATATATTAATTTGAATATATTTAAATTATAATTAAATCTCCACACAAACACACACACATTGTCTTCATGAGTAACAATAAGAATAAGTTAATTATATTATATAATATTCATTAATTTTATATGTTATTATGTTATAGTGATGATATTGATATAGAGGAAGTATTCAAGGTATTTCCTAAAGATGCTTCTTCCGTCTTACCACGTATTACTAGTATAAACAAACCTGTTAGTTTATTATTTGTTTATTTAACACATATTATTTATTATATATCATTATAGCGTCCAATACTTAAACGAACTGAGATTATTATTAATACCGTATCCAATTCGGAACATCCTCATGCCCATAGATTTGATTGTTCAGAAATTAACAATTTGAAGTTGAAACAAAAAAAAGAGAATGAGCTGTTGGATTCTTTTCTCCAAAAGTCAGAGGTTAGTCATAGAAAATTCCATTCATGTCTTATCAGATAGTATTCAGAAACTGGGAAAGCAGAACCCTCCTATTGATGTTGTCAAGATAATGAAAAAGAAGAAAGTAAAAGTTGTGGAGAAAGTAGAAGCACCAAAAGTTGTTTCATTGGTTGAAGAAGTAGTTGAAGAAGAAAAGGTTTTTCAGTTTTTCGGTTTCATACCATCTATCATATCATTATGCTTCAGGTTGCACCTCCACCGGTTGTCAAAACCCTTCAACCAGTCTATGAGCCACCAGTAATGATTGTTCAGCCTCCACCCCAAGAGCGTATGTGATTCATTCAAAAATATTTCTTATTTTCCCTATTTTTCTTTCAGCAATCCTTCAAGAACCTAATCTTCCACCTTTGATTCATTTGGTCACAAAATCAGTTCGTTGATTAACACTGCTTATGAATTAATCAACCTAAACTCCAGGGCTTATTAGATTTTTCGTTATTAACAAATGAGCATAACTTGAATCTTGTTTTTGCACAAATCATATATGACGCCAAGTCTTTGGACAACTACCGTATCCGTCCACATGAAAGGAAGGAGCTTTCACATATCTTAGGTACAGTAGTCGATATCTTAGATAAGATAATCAACTGTAATCTTTAGATTATCATGGCATTCCACCATCAGCCCTCAATAACCCTGAGTACGTGCCAGCTGTCGTTAAATACGAAATCATTGAGACTGTCCGTACATACCCTTGGTATTTTAGTCGAATATTCGAGGTTTATATACTATGAATGATAAGAACAAGTATAAAGTACAATGTTATTCTTAGGTTATTGAAATTAGAGAGAATGAGACTGTTTCTCTTCTCTTATCGATTGCTGAGCATGGTATCAGATTCTTGATTCATTTGCCTTTTAAGAAGACTGATCCCTTACAAGTACATGATCATATAAGGTAGTCATTTAGACTAAAGCACAATTCGTTATGAAAAATATATTTTCAGTTGGGAAGAGATCAAGTCTGCTGAAGTCAAGGACGATGATTACTTGGTAATTGGCTTGAGCAATAAAGCGCAGATAACATTGAAGTCAGGAAACTGTTATGAGATATATGATATGATCATTGAAATGAAACAATAGAAATAGAATAGCATTCCTTACATATCTCACAATACATCTAGTCAGTTTCTTTTTATATTTCCATTCCATATAACTCTATATCACATATATTTTGATAAAGTTATTTAATAATAGACTGTCAGGAGCCTATTAATATTATCACTAACTAACTATGCGCTTTGTTATATAAACTAACTTTTCGCGCCTAAATAGGAAATTATTGATTAACCTTATCATCATTATTTGTTTTTTTTTTCCTATTTGTTTTAATTGATTATTATATTTTGACCATTTATGATAGATGAAATCATTTTAAACTATCTCTTTCATTCATTCATTCTTTAACAAACTTGACGACTATCTGATTGAATTTTCATTTCTTATTATCAATCATGACTGTTTTAAATTCAGTAATTAACAAAAGATGAATTATAACAATATAATTACAACGCTAATTCTTCAAGTAAAGTCACAGTTGAGATGCTTAGCCTGTTTTGAGAAACAAACAGTCACCTGATTTTGATGCTTCTTATCAGGTTTTGGCCGTACACGTGTCTTACTGCGCCCAAGAAATTCTTCGTTAAATCATTTCAACGAAATCGCCATTACTATCATTTTTAAATCGTTCAACGAACATGCATGATTCTAGAATAAAACTCTTTTTTTTTGTTCTCAACAGTTCTAATGGCGTAACGAATCATTACAGTCTCGCGATAGCTTATATAGCTGCGAGCTGCTAGATGTCCAGATGGACATACGCGTGAACGAACTTTCTTATTCTCAATATCATTGTTGATTGTATATGATAGCATGTCTTGACCAACCATTTGATTATATAAGCTATGTTTACATATTATTATCATAATCATTAAGAGATGAACTTTGAACAATTAATAGATGAGCTCAATGTGGCATTAAATGTTAAAGAAATTGCTCTACCCCAGGTTAACTCGTTGCTCGAATCATACAAAAGTATTGGAGATTGGCAGAGATATGCTCATTTCGATAAGAACGGGTTCGTTATGATATTATTTATTTTAATATATATATATATATGTATATAGTTAATAATTGATATATTTATGTAATAGATGAGCAAGATAGTTTATTATTAATGTATTTCTTATTGACAGATACACCAGAAATCTGGTAAGCACTGGAAATGGTGCATACAATATTATTATTCTGTGTTGGGGACCAGGAATGGCTAGCAAGTATGTTTGTTGATTTAATATAACAAGAGAGAATATTTAAATATGATTATGAATGATGTTGATGATGATGATGATGATGATGACGTTTCATGATCAGATAGTATACATCTCCTTCTGTTTTAGCATTCATGATCATTCAAGTGCTGATTGCTTTGTTAAAGTATTACATGGACAGCTTGCTGAAACACAATTCAGCTTTCCATCCGCTGATAATGATAAGCCATTGACTGCACTTGGACAATCAATTTATGAACGCGATGAAGTATCTTATATGAATGGTATGTTGAAAATTCTCTTTCTTTTTTTCTATTCATCTCCATCATAATGTAATTATTTGATTATACATGAATAGAACCAAAGATATACTTTCATTGTTCTATCAATTGATTTCGTTGACAAGTTGAATGGCGTGACATGATAACGAGACAATATGTCTATCTGTCTGCATAACTCTCTTCATACTTAATGATCACTCAATCCATTTTGATTATTTCAATGACCGATCATCACATGACTGTTTACAACAGTTAAATAATTATAGAATGAACATATTAGGAAGCGGAATACAAAAACGTTTTTTATTACACTCAACAGTCATGATTGTAGAATCAGAGAAAGAGATATGACTAATTGAGATTTTCGACGATCAAACGGAAATGAACTTGATTTTTTGATTTTTACAAAGAAGATGAGAAAAAAAAAGGGAAAGAAAGGAAGAAAGAATGGAACGGAAAATAAGAATGAAAAATGATGTAGAGATGATGAAAACATGAAAATTAATTATTTCTATTGTTTATATGTAATCAGTGACTATGTTGCAGATGACTTAGGATTGCATCGTATGGAAAATCCAAGCCATTCAGAAGCAGCTGTATCTCTACACATCTATACTCCCCCATATGAGTATTGCAATATTTATGATGAAGTAATTAATTTTCTTTTTTCTTTTCTTTTGTATATGCATGTGCATGTCTTTCACATTATATTATTTTAATATATCTATCTATCTATCTATATATGCTCATGTCAGTGTCTTTGTTTCATTGGTCTCTGTCCATTCATAATATGTGAATAGCGTGTTGCTAACGTAATAGTTTATTTAACAACAACATAATGTCTCAAATAAGATAATAAATTAATCATTTTCAGAGAACAGGAAGAAAAACTCGCAGCTACATGAAATTTCACAGCAAATTTGGTAAAGTTGTTGAATCGCTTGCCGCTGCAGCTGCTCCATCACCATCAACACCAACTATCGTCAACAATTAAATACCATAATGAGTGAGATTATGCATCAAATTGAAAGTTTCTAAAACTTTGAATCATTTGACAAACACAGATTTTTATACTTCAAAAAAAAAGTTTTATAAAATAACAAAACAAAACCAAAAAAAAATAGATTTTTGAGAATGTGCGCGGTTAAGACGACTGAGAGTATGTTTAATATATTTTTTTTAATTTTCTTTAAATTTTACTTCTTATTCTTCTTGTTTTTATACTTTATCATCAGCATTACTATATCATTCTGCTTATAGATATACTTACCGATTATTGTACTTAGAGAGTAATAAAACGTTGCCAAATATGATGATGATGATGAGGCTAGAGCATAGCTTGGGCAGAGAGCTTTGATTTATTCATTAAACTCTTGAAATGAATATTCATCAGCAATTACCTACTTATGATTCCGTCTTATGACGAATACAAGGAAGTGGAAATGTCGGCAATTACTTGAGAAAATTGAATATTTTTCATGTTTACTTCCTTTTTTCATTTGACTTCTTTATCTCTACTAATACATTCATGTTTCTAGGTTGCTTTGGACCCCCATATCATCTCTTGATTATCTTGTTTTTTGCTGCTCTAAACACTAAGCTTGTTGTCCAATTAACAAAACTTATTTCATTAACTCTGGTCATTCGCAACGGAAATATGATGTTAAAGCGTTCTTTGAACACCTACTAATAGGATTGAAATGACGCGACAGCAGAGCTTTTTTGAAACATGAAGAAGAAGAGAAAAATTAAATGAAATTTCCCTCCTTCTTCTTAAAGTCCGCTTCATATTTGGGAGGGAAATTGAAAATTTTTTCTTGGTTTTCCAGGCACACACATACACACACGTTACGAGTGACTTTGGCGAGTTCAATAGAATGTTCAGATATTGCGATTTCTTTACTTGCCTTTTCGGATAAATTAGAGGAGACTAGAAAGTAAGTGAAGAGAGAGAGGAAGAGAGAGAGAGAATGAGAGAGAGAAAGACAGATGAAAGAAAAGAGAGAGAGAGATGGAGTGAGTGGAAGATAGGAAGACTTTCTTTAGATGATGCAATGAGAAGGAAGAAGAAGAAGAAAAAAAAAGAAGAAAGAGAAAATGAAAGTGAGTGTGTGAGCACATTTTAATATATTAGTTGTCGTCATTTATGAATGTTAATATTGTGAATTCTAAAAAAGTGTCATTGATTACATGCGGATATTCATTATATAGTTCTAGATGAATTAGAAAATAACATTATGAAGTAGTTAAGATAGAGAGAGAGAGAGAGCGAGGGGGGGGAGGGAAATGATCCATTTCCTGTATGTTCATCTTCCTTTCACTTACATCTTGAGCTTCTTCTGCCAAATATGCAATTTTCGTCGTTCTTGCTTTTCATTCATGAATGTGTTTGTCGCCGCTTTGAATATTACAATTTAAAATTATAGCGAGAGCGATAAAAACAAAAATAAAAATAGTATTTCATGAATATCATATAAATAATAGTCTTTGTGAGCAAACGAACAAAAAATGTACAAAGCCCTGATTACGATAACTAATTGTATATGATATAGTTATCTTTATCAAACAATCTTTTCTATTCAGATATGTTATAGCATATGAGATGATGTCAAGATACGCAATAGAGATGCACCATCTGCTCGCCAATTTCCTCAATTTTTTGTACTCCACAATGCTGGAGTAATTTCTATTTATAGGCCTAGTAAGCTCTTTTTATATCAGACGCCACTCAATCAGCGCCCATGTTTCGTTTTCCTGTTCTCTCTCTCTATCTCTTCGTCTTCGGCCCGCGATTTAAATTTTAAATTTCTATTTTGTCACAGTTTTTTCTTGTCTCCTCTCATTGTTGCGAATAGAATGAGATGAATGAAGAAAGAGGATGTCTGTGCCATACCAAAATATTTTATTTTTGCTTTCAATTTTAATTGCCTGACTGCTTTAATATAACTATGCCTGGTCTATAGATGTAATTGTTATTAAATATCATCAAATAGATTCTTCAAAGGGGGTGTGTGTGAGAAACTGAATATGAATCCTTGAATGTTTTGAATTATAATATTAATTATTATGGCAGATTACCCATAATATGCATTCAGCAATGAATTTCTGTAAAATATAGAGAAGAAAATAAAAAAAGCTGAAGAATATGATGATTAAAGAAGAAGAAGAAGAAGGAGAGATCGGCTGCTCAGTGGTTAGTCGTGCCCTTTTCCTGTTTTTCTTAAGTTTTTCAGACTTTAAATGGGATAGAAGATAGAAGGCAAGGGGGGGAGGTTGTAAAAAAAATTTTTGTGTTATTAGTTCATATCTTTTGACAAATCACAGAGTGGACGAAGATTTTTTACACTTTCATTCATTCCCTCCAAATATGGAGCCTTTTCCTTCTTTCAAGCTGTTGCGTTCTGTCAATGAGAGTGTTTTGTTTTAAAACGCCTCTTTGCAACTTCTCTCAAACATATATATCTCGAGCAACACACGATTGCTTGGACATTTGACTCGCACGTTCTATTGTTTCTGACATTTATTTATATTTTCTAATAATTCTCTAATAAATTAAAGGTTCAAGATTACGTCCTTAACGGTTTCGTGTCGCATCTCTTTGCTGCTTTTGCACCTTTTCATCTACTCAGCGTAAGTTATACCTTTAAAGTACATAAATTGAAAGCTGATTGGATCATTTGTTTACAGTAGATGTTATCCTGCTGATGATGATGGAAAGAATTTGACTCCTCCACAAGAATGTTATCATCGTTATGCCAACAATGATCATCACAAGATCTTCGCTGAATTCATGCATCGCAAAAATACTTCGCATTATTCGCCTATTTCACCAACATACAATCAAGCATTATTGCGAATGAATGTAAGTTTCTCGTTTTTTGTTATATAAATAGCTTTAAAAGGAAGTTTGTGCATGTTTCGTTTTTCTGAGAGTCTATGTGAGAGTAAGAGAGGAACGTTCCATTTGAACAGATATTTGGCTTTAGTGTTTGTTGCTTAATTGTAATATGTATGATAGTTTTATGTATTACCCTCTAAACGTGTCGATCGCTTCACGTACAACCCAATTCAAAAAAGGAAACGTCAGATGCAGACGTATAAATAGAAAAAAGTACCTTTATTTGGAACTTTTTCCGTATATGAAACGTTTAGTACAAGTACAGGTGTCTCTCTCTATGTACTCCAGATAAGGAAGTTTGTAGATTGCTGCTTTGCCTATTGTTATTTTTGCAGTGAGGAAGTTATATAGTGAATATGAGACTACAACTTGATTCATTTGTTTCGAAAAATGATATAAGCGTTCTCTGTTTTCTTCATTACTTTTTGTAGTCAATTTGATCAGGGATTTCGGATTTGTCACACCGAAGCTGTTCCAAAGCAAAAAATAGAAATTAAAAACAATTCCTTTGTTCACGTATTATACTATTATCATATTTATGAATATTTTTTGAAATGTTAATCAGTATTCCTACATATCTTCTTATAGATGGACAATTTACGGCACGGCAAGCAGATAACAATGAGCTCTACTAAGTGTGATAGTCGTAAACCACCTGTAGTGAGTGCAGAAACGCCGTTACGTGAACGAGCTCTCTGCAAATTCGAATACGTACTCAACTATAATCCAAATGTAAGGCCTATCATTGAAACAAAGATGGATGGTTTGATCGATTACAGTTCAAAAATCAATTTTTGTCTTCAATTTTCATTGTTTTTTCTAAATTCTGTACTTTCAGAGGCTACCAGCTGCACTTACAGAAGTAGAATGCAGCTGTCAGCGTCCCAATCCTAAACTTGTAGGAAAACGAATATTTGAATGCGAAGCCCTACGATATCAGGTGAGCATGCTTCATACATCTTGACATCATTCATTCATTATTCTAATTATAGGTTCGAGTAATGATATTCGATGAGGAATGTAATTCTTTCACAGAACAAATCGAGAATATAGCATTGGCATGCATTCCAGTATTACAAGTAACTAAAAGCTCATCTCACTTCCCAAACCAAAATCTGAATATTCAGGCAAATGCAAATGCTGAAGGAGAAGCCGATTTCATATTCCCATTGAAAGCAGATGTGCCAACATAATATATTATTATATTGCTTAATATATTTCATTTCATTTTCCCGCGCATAATTATTTGAAAACCGTATATATGTATATATATATATTGATATCTCTATCATCATTCTGGACGAACCAAAGCTTCTTTTATCAGCTTTAACGATCTCTACTTGAAGACAAAAAAAACTTTTCGATCTTAATCGAAAACACTGATTTCGTATTTCTTTTTTTGCTACATGAAAATAAATAAATTATTAATTTGCATAAACATGCTTTGTATCTCCATTTTCCCTTTCCATCGTAATTGATAGCTGTTTCTATCGTTTTGCGTTTTGCGATCAACAGTCCAAACAGCACATTACGTGAACAGAGAAACCATCTGAACCGTCAAAAATCAAAACACCATGATCGTCACAGTCAACAATGATGATCATTAGGCTGAAAGCATCCTTTATGCATTATTATAATAATCAATGTTATGAAACAGCTCACAATACAAAAAAATACAAAAAATATTAATAATATTTCTCATTTTAAAAATTTTGAAAATTGAAATGCTATACATCAATTGAAGGGGTAGAGTAAGAGCAAGAAGGTAAAGAGAGGGAGAGAAGGGGAGAAGACTGTATTGTATATATCTAATCATACACCTAAAATGACATACAACGAAGAGACAATATCAATGTTAAGAAAACAACATCACAACATCCATCTTCTAATGTAGCAGTAGTATAACATATATATAAATATATCAAACGATATTATTTCTGAAAAAGAAAAAGAACAAAAAAAATTTTTTTTTCTAAGTGAGAATGTGATTTCTGAAAAATAGAAGAACCGGGAAACAGTAATTTTCAAAAGTGAACTTCAAACCACGTATTGAATTGTTTTTGAAAATAAAAATTGCTAAACGTCACAAACGTTCTATAATTATTGGACTAGACGTTCTGCTTAGCTGGTCTATAACCATTTTTACCTGAAACAGTCAAAGTTTTGAACAAGAACATGTGATCTATAAGCAATAATGAAAATGGTATAAACTCTTACGTCTGCAGCAGCAACAAGCAATCAGAATTCCTGCTATGATAAAGAAAACGAGAATTCCTAATCCTGTGAGGAAGATAGGAGATTCTAGCAACGGTCTATCCTCAAGTTCTGGAGCTACAACAGCTGGTACTGTTTTCGAGTTAATAATCTGGAAATTAATTATATTATTATGTCATTATAATTATAACTGACAGTATCTTGTCGGACAACTGCTATCTTGTGAGTTACACTGGTTTTACCAGAATTTCCGCTGTTTTTGATAACACTTTTAGTGGTATACTTGATTTCCGGAGGAAGACTTGATCCCTTCAAAATATTTATTTTTTGAAAGAAAAATAAAATAATAAATAAGTGGTTATATGTGTGTGTGTTTATAAGGATATCTGTTAATGTATTTAGTTTTAAAAGGGAACGCTAATAGAATAGACATGAGAGAAGGAAAAGGAACTGACCTCTAAAGCATCTTCGTCATCAATCAAACCGCTCCCTTCACCAGTTCTCATGATGGTCTCTTCATCATCAATACTTCTTGTAGTTGTTGTACGTTGAGCTACGGAAGAGTTGATTATTAGAGAAACAAGTAGAAACCAAAATATCTTTTTAAACATTTTCTGAAACTAATAACCATTAATAGTTACACATATACACATTAAAACGTATAGGAAATGGTGTGTGGGTAGCAGAGTTAATGAGAATGAAAACAACGATAGGCAGTTAAGGATAGGAGGGAGGTCGGGTTGCAAATAGTGAATTGCAATGACAAAATAACTTCATTTGAACTGTTTATTAACAATTTATTTCCATTAAAGAAACTTTTGTGATTGATCATTCAAGTTGACGTATGAGACAGCTAGTGGGACGAAAACTGTAGGCAACAATCTTTTTATAGTATGCTATATAATGGAAACGAAACAATTTCTGTAATTGATTGATAACATTAATAAGCATGAAAATCATTTTACACATCAGTATGTATGATTGACGCTCATAAAGATGCTTCATTAGCTAAATGATTGACCTATAGAAGGGCCATATAAGCTTGAGTAGATATAAGAAGGTTATGCAAACAATTAGAACGATGAAATCAAATGCGTTAAAAAGAATCTTTCGCTATCAGAAAAAGACCTACTGAGACTCAAAAACAGTAGGTCATCTTAACCACATAAAGAATATTTGCTTGGTAAAGCTTGTGACCAAGATGATATATTAGTTTTTGAGTAAACATGATGAAAATGAAATAAAAAAATGATTTATAATGCTGTTACTGTTTAGATGAAATGAAAAAACGATTGAAGAATGAAGAAACGAATCATCATTATCATATTTTATTTCATATCAAGATGAAAAGAGACTTGAGAGATCTTTCCGCTATACTCCTACGATGAGTCATTATAATCAGTCAGTTCACGAAAATTCTCTCGAAACTTTGCTATGAAAGAAGATGAGCTTGTGAAGACAGCTCAACAGTTGGCTGTCTCATTCATAAAAAGATCCTCCGCAAAAAAAAAGAAGAATGAAGATGAAGAGAGATTGTCAATTGATTAAAATTAAAATACAAGGAGGTCAGAACTATCAGAATGAATAACAAATTAAAAAATTGATAGATTGCGAAGGTTATCTACTCAGTTAACATCAAATAGGATGTGTGTTGCAATCATTTTTTGTCATATGAACTGACTTGATGGAGAATGATTGGAAACGCAACATGATGGGGTGGGAGAGATGATGATGAAAAAAAAAGTAAATTAAATGAATTACATATATTTGAGAATAGGTGGAGAGATGATGTCTTAGTATTATGCAGTTTGTTTGCTGACCTACTGTTCCGCTGCCTATCCCCCTCAGAATAGTTTTAAAGTGTAAGTATGTATACGAGATTTGTTCTTAATGCAAACAATACCGACAACGTGTCTCTGCAGATGTAGCTGCAGCAAGATAACTAATAGACGACAAGATTACATGTACAAATGATAGCAGAAAGAGAGAGAGAACCACAAACTTGTTGCGAACAATTAGTCTTAGTTACTAGATTAGATATTGATTTTCTGTTAGCCAGATAAGAATGATTGTTATGATTAATGACAAATCTTATACATTAAAATGAGCGTTAATAGGGGAAATGTCCATCTAGAAAACGATAGCATAGATAATAAACTATCATTTTAATATATAAAATGCATAGTTAACTAATAGTTAAAATTAAAAGAAAAGAAAGAGAGAGAGGCGTCGTAATGAATGAGCTGAAAGCTTAACAACTGTTCATAAGTTGTCATCTCTTCACATCTCAATAATCTAGGATATAAAAATTCCAAATAATGTTTGACCTAGTTGTTATTTAGCCATTAGCATTGTTTACCGCTTTATTAATTTAAATTTACATTTTGGCGCCAAAACCATATACATATAGTAAACAAATAGAATATTTGAATTGATACTTTATTTTTTGTGTTCGTTTAATATAAGCAGTCTTGCTATGTTGAAACATATAGATTATGGGAGGTAGAAGAAGAGCAACAAGAATGTGATGGATTGGCGCCTAAAAGTGTTAACTGCAATTTTTCCTTTTATCTAACGTCTCTTATCTGAGTGCACCTATGTCTACCTTATTACTGACAGAGAATTTGATTATTAGAGAGCGCATAAAAAAAAATTTTGAGAGCATAAAGTTCATTAAATAGATATATTATAGAAAGAAAATATATATATTATAGAAAGAGAGAGAGTGAGAGAGAATGATTGAGAGGTTTTATATTTCTCTTTATTTTTTTTATAGTTACTATATGAATATGTGTTGTAAGCTCATGTGAATGAGAATGAACACATTTAAGCTTTTTCGTTATTCCGAAAAAAAAACTAAAAACAGTCTAATTGAATGGATTTTAAATTTCATTTTTACAACACAAAAATCAATTATTCAATTTCGAGAGTATATAGAAGAATGAAAACGAAAACAAATGTTTCTTGGAAACAGCAACATCTATGAATTGACTATATGATGTGAATAGATTTTAATAATAAATACTTAGTAATACTAGTTTTACTTTTACTAATAGCTGAAACGGTAATTTCTGTATCTAATAAATTTCAAAAGAAAACACAGTAAAAACCACAATGATGAGTTCCAAAGTTTTGAATTTCGAATGTTGAAAGTTTTTTTTTTTCTATTTTTTCTGTTTTTCAAATGGTTTTAGAGTTTGAATGAGGGGTTTAGCCAAAAGAGTCGAAGTAACGAGCAATAGTAAAGAGCAATTTAAAAAAAAACGATGATGAATCTTCATTAAATGTGAGATTAAAAAGATATTATAATGGTTGTGAACTTTGACGTTACCTCAGTTTCTTCCCTGAATTGGTGAAAAGGTGAACTTTGATTCTTCCATCTTCATTTCCAGATGATGTTGCTCATGCTCCGCTTGTTCTTTCTCTTTTGCCACTTCCAGAAACTGTAAAAGAAACGATCATTCCGTGGAAAGCTCAAACATCTTTGCTATCACTCAAAGAAGGTAAGTTCTCATTTTCCGGTTGTGCATGAGCAACTCAATTATAGTTATACAATCA